TACCTCGCAAACATTCAGCAGAATTTTAACTTTCCAAAAATTAGTGCAAAATATTTATTCAACAACTAATGTTATTAATGAACGCAGTCATTGTTATTCTCGCTTTAAATTTGTATAATGCAGCAGCACAGCTTTGGAGTGATCTTGGAGTGCATTTTAATAATAAATTATAAATTTTTTTAACCTTATATTATAATAACAATGTGTGGTATAACATGAAACAAAAAACCGTAGCTTTTTAAATACTTGTAGTAGTTAAATGCATTTAAAGAGAGGAAGACGATGTCTACGTTCAGTGAAAAACATTAATTGTACAATAAATGTTTTGCACTTATTTGCGAGGAAACTTAAAATTGTGTTAAATATTATTATTTTCATGAGCTACCCCAAATTTTAAAAGTCATTCTAGGACCTACGGTTTCCCAAATAACAGTAAGTTTTTCACATAAAGAATTTTTCTCACAATGTTTAAAAAAAGTCGAGCTGTTGTTAAAGACGGATACTTAAAAGTCTATATTACTTGTACATAAAAGTATTTTTTTGCTGAAGTATCTGAGTTTTCACCAAAACCGTAGATTTCTTACTTTAATTAATATTTATGATGTATTTACTGAGAAATTTGGTGTCTTCATTCAAACTAAATTAAATTTCCAAAATTATGAAAATTTTTTATAATTCTTACAAATTACCTTTTTTTTATAAAAAACGTTTTTAAGGTTACAAAGAATTTATATTTATTTATATCGATAACTATTTGTGGTAAAGGAAGAACTAGAAAAATCTGCTTTACATCACCTTGATTGATTACTACGACAACTTTTATACTTATGAACAGTCTCCGATTCCTTAAGAATTTATCTCTTTACAGTTATCGTAGTCTTATAATTCAAGATAAAAATGAATTACATAGGCACACAAAAAAAAGTCATCTGAGTGTGAGACAAGACGCATATACTTATAGGTTTTTGGGTAAGCTGAATCCAAATCCGAGGTCAGATTTAGTCCGTCACCCTCAAGTTTTCCCCTAGCTAGGGATAAGCTCTGGATAATTGCGTAATCCACATTTACTCTCATAATCTCGGAGAACCCGGTAGCCAGAAGTTGCCTAACTCAGGAGCTTATACTGAGTTCATGTAAAACGAGATATAAGAGGAAAATCTTTCATGACAATGTATCCTGTCAATATTATTCCAACTATCATGCCTCTTTCTCTTTTCGTTTCCTCCACTGTTCAATATCAAAAATGATGACTTTCTTATCAATTTGGACCTGAAATCAGAAATTTGGATGAATAAAAATTGTAATTATCTGTTCTCAAAAACAGATTACGTTACAATTTTTCCATAATACCGTGTTCTCTTGTCTTCAAACAACCTGTGAAGGGGATTCCGTATCTTTGTTTTTCTTCTTTGATCCTCTCTCAGCAAGGTCCAGCAGTAGTCAGCTAACATATTGATATTTCAACAGCCTTGATGTTTTCTCTCAATCTCCCTTATATCCTGATAGAACCTCTCTTCTTGCTCCTCGCTCAAATCTTCACGATTCTCTGGAAATTCATCTAAATGAGAATCGAGAAAATGAAGTTAGTAATTCACATTACATCCCAACTGACCGTTGTTTGTAATAAGTTTCGCAACTATCTTTTTGTAATCATGTCTCTCATTATTACCTCAAAAATTTTCGACAACTTGTTGGAAACTCTGTCAAGCAGATTTTTCAGGACCTGGCATTGTTGTAACGAATTAAGGATCCCTCAACATTTTCCGTATCCGAGGTCCATCAAAAATCCATTCTTTCAACTTGGCATCTGAAGTTTAAAGGAATTTTTGACACAAATATTGGAAGCACTTTCCATTTTTATCAAGTGCCTTGATGAATGGATTCATTATTCGAAGCTTGATGTGAAGTGGGGGAATCAAAATTTTTGAAGGCTTTCTGAGTGGCTTAGCGATGATGTATGTTCCTGTTTGAAATATCAATTTTGATTTTTTAAAGTGGTTTTTGCGATCCCTACTATCCCATAAACAAAGATAGCAGGGTGTTTTGGTGAATCCCGATTGTTGTCCAAAAATCATGGATAAGATTTTGAGATCACCACATACAAGCCAGTTGTGCTCTAAATAATTGATTTGTTCCAAAAGTATGTATTCCTTTTTCAACGGGGTTGGGTGAACGATCAGCACCAGTACCAATACATTTTTACTATTCAGCAACACTGCTTCTAAGTTCCGGGTTGACAAGTCCATAAAGAGCCTCCAATCCTCAGACTTATACATATCAGGCTTCAGTGTTTTAATTAGTCTTTTCATTTATTGTTACAATAGACTTGCTTACCTTTTTTAGTCAGCTCTTCAACGAAGTATTCACGGAAACCATTTTCTCTATCTCTAGAGATAGTTAATTTAACACCATGTTCCAGCTTACCCCTCCTCTTCAGATCTGAAGCTAAATATTCTGCCACGTCTTTAGGGAGTCCTATTCAAGTCATTCAATGCTTTTTGTGTATACAATATAATAGGCTTCTTTTTATCATTGTATGCTTTAAAGTCTCTATCTTTGTCTTTAGATTCCACTTCGTCCTCGGGTTCATCTTCGTCGTCAGATCTATCTGATTCGTTGCATCTATAATCCTGTTGACTCAAGTCATCCCCCCTGTCATCAGGTTTTGATTGACTCACTGGGGAGGGTAAATTTTCATTCTGCTTCCTATTAATTTGATCGGATTCAATCGCTCTCGTAACATCCGCGTATACTATTTAACTTTCATTTTTTATGTTGAACCCAGATACTTTTGTATTACAAAAATAACATTGCCTTTTATCTTGGGGCTTTTTCCAACGAGTCGGTTGTTTGGTTCTAAGTTGAATCTCTTTTCTTTACTCTTTTGCAGCCTTCCAGCCTGTAAACATGTTATAATAAGCCTTACATATCGATGATGGAACCCAACTATGATTCAAGTCTCTTACATTTCTTCTAAAAAAATCTTTACAGATTTTTCTTATCTCGTCGGAGATAGGAACCGATTGTTATGGGTATCGAATTTTCCACAGACATAGCAGAAAACATTAGAGTCAGTAGGGCTATTGTGGATTGATTGATTTGTAGTTTTTTAAGGTTGGTTTTTGTGAGTTGAAGTAGCCATAAATTTGTAAAGAGCCCCGCACGTTTGGGATCCTGGCCCAATCACAGGTAAGTCCGCCGTCCTGGAGACGATAATCCTCATACTTCTCCAGGGCTAATCATGAGGGCTTTCCGGCTATGACGAGGACAATGTCAACTCATCGTCAGACACACTACGGCTTCATCCTCGCACCCAAACGTTGCCCTGCAGGGTAGCGTGCCTTCGCTGGCTTCGTTACTACAACATTCTGGGGAGCGAATCGTTCTACACATCTCCATTGGAGCAGTTGTCATCGTCCCCATAAAATGCCGTGGTAGCAGAAATTTTCAGATTTTCATCTTCTTTGATGAGAAGTATACCTATTCCAAACTGAAAAAGCTTAAAATGGAGGTACTCAACAGCCCCACATAATATCAGACCACTACAATAGAATCTAGAATCTTCTTATTGTCTAAGATTTGATTTAAAAATTAGTCAAACTAAGAGTCACGGGAATAATTTATTCATGCTATTGGCAAGGTTCTTTTGTACCTAGTGATAAATCTGAGGGCGATAGACTGAATCTAACCTCAGATTCCGATTCAGCGCTCTCGAAAACTTGAAGACTAGGGTTGCGTCCGGAATTGAAGAATTAATAAATTCTTGGACATCCTAGGGGTTTTTTCGTTTTCAGGTTATGTTTCTCGTGTTATTAATAATAAGTATATCTCGTTTACATGAACTCAGTGTAAGGCCCTGAGTTGGGCCACTTTTGAGTACCTGGTTTTCCGAAATCATGAGAGTAAATGTGGATTACGCAATTACTTAGAGTTTATCCGTAGCTACGGAAAAACCTGAAATGATGGACTAAGTCTGACCTCGGATTTAGATTCAGCGCACCCAAAAACCTACAAGTCCATGGGTCTTGTCTCATACTCAGATAACTTTTTTTGTGTGTGCATGTGTTATCTATTTATAAGCGTATGTTAAATTTGCCTTTAATTATTTATTTGGCGTCTATTCATCTCAATACTCCTTATTTTGACTTACACTTGCTCTGTTCCTTTATTACATTACGAATATGTTGGATACTCTGCACCGAAAGCCCATCTACTGTTATAATAACTTTTAAGCGTCTGGTAAGCAACGTTTTTATTATAACTGATACTTGCGTATGCTAAACAAAAATTCCAAAGAATATTTGACAGTATTCACACCTAATTTGTTTGAAAGTCATTTCTGTGTACCGTTAACAATCTAGAAATGAGTCTTATAAACATTCAATTGATACGCAATATTATAAAGTTTATTAACTAAATTAAGAGAAGGATTTTTTAAAACATCAAAAGAAGAGCACTTAATTTTTTAGTAAAACTATGAGTGTTCATCCTCGTAACGTTACCTTCAATGACAGATTACTGCAATAATATCAGTTGTAACAGCTGTTTATTACTTCAATGCCCAAAACAGTGAGAATTTAGAGACGAAGTGAAGTATTTGAAATGAACTGTGGCTGTTTTTCGAATAAAAAACAGTCGTTACCAGAGTTTTTGAGCTAAGCAACTAATTAAATACATGTTGTTATAAGAATTATTTGCAGTAAAACCATAAGACTGGAGAGCACTGTAAATGTTTCAGACTCTTCGTAAGCCCTATTCATAAAAAATCTAAATAATTATGAAAAACACTTAATTAGACAGAAAACAGTTTTAGGAAATACTGTCATTCTGCTCCTTACAGACTTTCTTAATTTTATAGCTCAGATAAACACTACCATTAAAGCTTTGATAAAATTGATTTAATATCAATTTTTCATGAAAATAAGTCAATTTTTACATGAAAATCATATACGTAAAAAGATGAGAATTACTTTTGCAGTTTAACAAAGGAAAGTACTTACTAAAGTCTGATGGCTTAGCTTGACTAAGGTCCCTATAAAAATCAGTTCTGTGTGACTTTTTTAAACCTGTACACAATCCAAAATCAGATAATTTAATATGCCCCCTTGCATCCAACAAAAGATTATCTGGTTTAATGTCTCTGGAAAATATAAAAAATTTATAACTAACACATTAAGACATATCTGATTTTATTCTTTAAAATTATACAGTAAAAAGAACGTTGTCTTCATTTAAATTCTTAATTTTAGTACGATAATCTAACAAATCCAATAAACTAACAAAATCCTCTTATAGTTTTAATAATTGATAAATGTTAACAACTGCAATTTACTCAACACAAAAGAAGGATACAAGTAGATGTTAAAAAAGACGATATCGTGATGTAAGCTATACACATCGAAACTTTTACTACATACATTAAGTATCTGAATATAAGCACTACGTTCTCATAACACCTTGAATCAAAATATACTTTCTTCTTTATTGAGGAAGTCTGAAAAATTCTGATCTTTAATTTTGAGTATAATTCTTTAAACATGCATCATTTTTATACGTAGTAAAGCATGTGTGTAAGTACGAGGGGAACAGCATAGACATGTACACATATTTATTGACTTATTTATCCATAGGGGTAGATGTATGTACATGCATGTATATAAGTGTATGAATGTATTTAGGTATGTATAAATTAGTTACGTAAAATTTATGGGATACCTTTTCCGCTGCCCTAATTTTTTACTCTCGTCTCTTCGTAAAAGATTTTGACCTTTTCCTCGAGACTTCTGTTTACACTTTTTCGTTCCATTCTTGCATTCCAAGTAAGGTTTTGAGAAAAAAGTGCATTAACCTTTTCTTCAACTACATAAACATTTTTTATAATTTAATATGATATGATTTAATATATATGTGTTGTTCTTTATCGCTCAATCCTTTCCAAATCCTATCTATTCTTCAGTAAGTTTCTGATTTACCTCTACTTTTAATTCTGACCTTCCCTTCAGCATCTCAGTGTAAATTTTTTAGACCACTGTCAAAAGTAATATCCCTCTATTAATGAAAAAGACGAGAAACGAAGTCCTTGAGACCCCCTAGCAGATAAATACTTACTACGGTATAAAATAATTACTATTATGGGTCGTATGTGGGCAAGCCACCCTAAATTAAAAAAAAAAAATCAAAGATTAAGAGAAGCCAATGTATTGAGAAATCTTACACCAACTCAGATTTGAAAAGAAGTGTTTAAAAAGCGTGCTTGATCACTTGGGCAAGTGTCTGAGCCACCATTAACGAGTCTACTTTTTTCCAACTCCCAACGTCGAGCAAACTTACAGATGTTATAAAATGACTGAATACTAAATTTTATTGAATTAATTTCATTATAAGTTGCATGCAATCAAATAAAAGGCCCTTAAAAAGTGTAACTCTTATACTTAGCTATACTGTAATTTCGCATCATATTGTTTACAGGCAAAGTCACAGTGATTGTTTGAAAAAAATAGCTATACTTATTCCTATTGGTTGGATAACTGCTTTTTTTATTTTGGGGAAAAATGATAGACATACAACAGGATTAAAACTATGACTTAGTTTTATCAAATAAATAAGTTATCGAATAATATACTAGAATGAAGAACGTTTTGATAGAAAACAGTGACTTATGTAGCAAAGTGAATTTTTTTATACAATTCATTATAACGTCCCTCCTGGGCAGGTTTTGTGATACGTACCACTTTTTTTTTCTATTAATGTATCCAAATTATGAAAATTATAAAAATCCATTAGGACTGTATGTTCGCTTACAAATAGTCTTTGAAAAAGGCTATTTTTTGACACGCAATAACTCTACAACAAACATAATTAGTGGTCTAAAAATCAGAAACTTTAAATAAATGATGTTAATAATAGCATAAAAAAGTGCTCCAAATTTCAGTTAAGATTGGTTTCTAACTTTTTAGGTGGTAAATGGTTATTTTCTTTTTCAAGCCTCAATTAAAAATTGAGCCATTTTTTTCTACATATTTAAAACCATGTAAGTCAAGCAAAAAATTCTAAATTTGATCTAATTTTGTAACTTATAGGATTTTTTTTTAATTTTTGTATTGATTAATTCTATAACAATTGTTTAGGGTCCTATTTTTTCACCTGGCATATGAAACTATATAACTTCATTATTCTTAAATCAATACTATATGCTTCCGTACATTTAGAGAAATAAATATTCCGAAGAAAAATTTAGAAAAAGTAATTGTTTTTAGACTTCTTAGAGATCAGGTGATTTTTTTCTCAAAAACTCCCTAGTAGTTATTTTTTGACCGATTTGGCTAAAACTGAGTCGTATTACAGTTGAATACCTATATTTTTATAGAAAAAATACAAACCTTACGTAGATGGCTGCCAAGTATATACCAAACGGTGAAAAAATATCTGCTAGATGCACAGTTAACGCCTGGTGCCGGCACATCGGAAACAGTGACTGTGGTGGTGGTTAAGTCAGGGTAGTGTAAAGAATAATTGATGAACATATATATATTGAATATGTGTACAATAAACACGGAAGTCTTTTATAATAATTTTAAGTTTTGTTATAATTTTATTTATTCTTAAGCCACTTGTATGTAGTAATTGACAAGATAATAACCGTTTGATTACATAATTTTCTTACTAGTATTACTTGGATGTAATCACTTACCAACAGTGTGATAAAATAAAAGTTCCTTAACTCTAGAGACTCTACGAGTTAGGCTGAAGCTCTTGAGGAAAAAGAGAAAGATAGAGTAGAAAATATTCAAAACTGATGTAGTATTTGCTAAGCGTTAGTGTCATAGAGTGAAAAAAAATTTATGTATGATTTGTATTTTCAAGCAATTAAAAACTAAAACAAGCTACTTACTTTTTTTCCCTACGTGGTTACTGCAACAAATAAATTACACGATAAATTTCGTGTACGCTTCAAGTGTAAAAGTGATTACGAGGGCGCAAAGTGAGTCCTCACGGTCCAAAACGGCAGTAGCACTTTGTTCATGGTAAGAAGAAACTCTTTTTCATACCTCGGGCGTTTTTGAGAGACTGGTGTGCCCTCAGTTCAAAAAATACGATTCGCCATATAAGCGCCATCTCACTACGGCTACCATACGGAAAGTACTTAATCTCGATCAATGAGTAATTAAGTTATGTATTTGAATACATCACATACAAATATTCGACTGCGAAAAAATCCCTATAAAATAAGTCAAAATTAATGTTTTTTAAAAATTTTTACGGAATAAAAAACTTTCACAGTCTTTTGAATTTTTCGGCTTAGTTTAAATAGTTTACAATATTTACAAAAAAGGCGCAATTTTCATTAAAAGTAAAAACGATAGTTTGTAACTCAAAAACTGAAGAACTCACCTGATCCAAATTTAAAGCACTTTTTCACATCATCGTTGCATTGCAAACAGTAGTTTCTGATTGTTTCAGACTTCTAAATATTTTTTCTATCGAATCGTTAAATATTGAAAAAAATGCTACTTTTTCGTAAAAAAAAAGACGTAACGGCTTTTAACAAGTCTTATCTTTTAGATAAATAAATAAGGGACAAAAAATGTGGTATTTATCACAAAAAATGTCCAGAAAAGACGATATAATGATATTTTGTTAAAATAACCAAGTGTGGGTCTCCGGACCCCCGGCAGAAGTAAGACTTCTCACTCAAATGTATTTAAACTCAGTGTAACAGAAACTGAAAAAATCAGGTCACACCTAGTTTTAATAGGTCTTTAAGAATCTGGTAATTAAATAGTAAAAATTGTATTATTATAACGTATTCGAGCACCCACGTGCATAAAATACACATACTTATACATACTACTTATATTACACGTGATTTGTGCTATGTAAGTACTTCCATGTTTCCTATGAAATATGTATTGATACATGTACGAATTTTTGGTCATGTAATACAGAAAAAAACAAAAATTTTCACCATACTGCCCCAAAAAAAAGTACTTATGTCCAGTTTCACCGGACAAAAGTTTCTTTTATTCAAAATTACTATTCGCGCATTTAATATGACATCATATATGTACAATCAATCCGACAAGTACAAATTTTTTAAAGTATGGCTACCATGAAAGTAAAATAATCCACTCTATCTGATTAAGATTAATAAAAAACAATAGACATACAGCTATTTTGCATTTTAAATTTGTAATTTTACATTATATTCGTTTTCTATGACTATTTATAATTTAATATTAAAATCACCCTTACTTGTAGCTAATCTCAAATTTAATAATAAGAATATAGATTTTAGTCACGGGACAATTATTCTTATAATACATGATAAAAAATATAAAATAAATCAATTTTAGAATATTTTAGGTACAGCTTTGCCTTTGAGATACGACTTATTTGTTTTGAAATTATTACGATTGCTTATTTTAACATATACTTTTGCACCACGATAATTATTTTCTTTACGTGAAATAATTTTTGGCCTATCTGGCGTCCCTTTCCAACTTGGATACAACTGTTTTTCTAATTTCAAGAGGTATGTTGTAACAAACATTTTTCTAAGATTTTATCAACATCCGTATTAATTTTCCAAGCATGCCATATTAAAAAAAAATTTTTTTACTTGTTCTTTTCAAGATACAGTCAAAAAACGAGAAATTTGAGGTTACCTTTGTGCATCGTCCAATCCCTTTCTATTGGTGCACGTCAATCACATAGTTCCGCTTTAGACAACCAGTAAAAATAGTTATTTTGGGCCTATCTAGCTTCCTTTTTTGGAGATATGACTGTTTTTCGAATTTTGAAAAGTTATATTGTCACAAAAATTTTTCAAAGATTTTGTAAATGTCCATATTAATTTTTTAAACACAGCATGGAAAGAAAATTTTTTTTTACTGGTTCTTTTCAAGATACAGTCAAAAAGGGATTAATTGAGGTGATGTTTGTGCATAGTCCAACCCCTCTATATTTGTGCACCTTGACCATGTAGTTCCCCTTTAGGAGACCCATGAAAATTGTTATTTTTAGCCAATTGTGCTTCCCATTCAAGATACACAGTTTTTTCTTGTTTTCTAAGGTTAGGTTGTTGTATTATACATATTTAATACTTTAAGCATGTTTTTTTTACATACATGTGAGCATGTA